TGCCTTGGCACTTGATTTTCCTGTAAACTCTTCATTTGTCAACAATTTTTCATCTCTAATGAGCAACTTCCACTGCCCACACGCAAATGAGTTCGCTACCAGCCGTGAAGAAAGAAAATGAATGTCAAATACTTTATTTAAATGACGGACAACGGTGTTCAGTGCGACATTAATGTTCGCAAGTTAGGGCACCATTTTTTCTTGTCTATTGCAAACATTCTGTTTTAAGGGGAGGAAATCAGGTTGTCACCAAGAAAATAGCTATCAGATTCATAAAGGAGTACACTGCGAGGGATTTATTTTTTCACAAAATAATATTCCTTAAAATGTATATATTTTTGTAAAATACTGTTATTTAAAAGGTAGTTTTAGTCATTTAAATTATTAAAGTAAACTGAGCAAAAGAGTCTCCATCTAAAACTAGACGATGATTGAAAGAAATACAAACGTGATTATTCCTCCTAAGAAGCTATCAATGGCAGTCAAATAAACACTGAAGGGATCAGACAAAGAATAAAGGGGCGATTGGGTCATACTTCTAGCCATTGATTGGGTGAAAATCGATAGCATTACATTGAAACTGGGTCGCCCACGAGAAGCCTCAGCTTGTAATCGAAAAGCTTATACCACATTCTCAATATTCAATTACCAGTGTCCTGTTAAAGGGGCCTCACCACACGCAGTTTGCCAATTCCTGGGTGTAAATGCTAGAGAGGCTGAATGAAGGGGTTTTGGCGGATAGTTGGTTCTGTCTGCTTTTGGACTCTTTGTATTCTCTGGCACGCACAATTACGCGGAAAAAGGCGAATGGGCGAAAAAGAGCAGCGTGAAAACAGCAGGGCGTATACGTGATGTTTGCCTTGTGGCGAAACGCTGGCGAAATCGAGGATTTGCAGAAGAGAGCTTTATCAGCTGCAGTTCACCCAGTGAATGTCCAGAAATTTAATTCTTCAAGCTAATTTTACCACAGAGAGAATAAATCTTGTAATATTCAGATTTAAAACATAAAAGAAAATTATACTCTTTTCTTATTTATTTTTAAGTATTATTTATTTTTATTTATTTATCTATTTAAATAAGATCTATCTATTATCTATTTTTAATAAGATAACTTCGGGTTAATATACTTTTTCTATTTTTTCAATTTTTATTTTAAATTTTCAAGATAAAAATTAATGTTTTGACATATTAGAATAACCCCCCTCATAAATCTTGACAAGTTTAGAAGCCTACAAAGTATTTATTGCATCACTTAATATTTTAATTAATAGCTGGCATTTGTTTTTCATATCATAACAGAAGGAAAAGCACGGGGACAGCGTCGACCAAATCAAACAACTCGTTTTCTATTGAATTGGATGTCATGAATGAAAACAATGGCAAAATGAATAGAAAACAGAGGAAAATCTTTGAGGAACAGCAGCAACACAACACACAAAGATTCGAAAATAAAGTGATAATGCATAAAAGAAATGAAAAAAGTCAAAACGTAAGTCGCTTTCAATCTTAATAAGATTACCACCCTTGCTAATAATATAGCATTTGCTGGAAAAATTATACAGAATTTGGGAAAAGCTGCAACATTTTCCTTTTCTTAAAGTCGTGTCAATTGCATCATTTATAATGCCAATGCGCCAGATGGTGCTATTTTATTTCGTTTCCTGATGTTCGTTCATATCACGTATCAAAATGTCTAATGAAAAAACAAGGATTCCAGCTTTAGTATGTGCGTTTTTTGAGTAATAGCTCACATTCACATCAAGAGATTTACAGAGAATAAACTGCAAAAGAGGGAATATTGTATAGACTGACCACCATTTATAGTGGGCAAAGGGATTACTGTTTGTTTTGTATTCTATTATTCTTAAGAGCATGGAAGTGAAATCGTGTTTTGCGTTGCTAAATAAGCGAATGAAAAAACTCCAAGTAAAATATCTCGGGAAAGATTTAGAATTGACTAAAACACACAGACCTCAAGATTGCTGAACCAGTAGTTAAATTTTTTATAAAGTTCTTACTAGTCAAATCCAAAAAAAGGTTTTTCTTGAAGCAAGTTTTACACGTTGTAAAGCCATTTTCTCTTTAATATACCAACTGGAATGAAGTTATCTGTACCTTAGACTGCTCTGCTGTTGACCAGAAATAGTCCCTTTAGCAGGCAATAGGGCGTGCCTCGAGTACTACACCACATACATGTTGTAACTGTGTGAAGCAGACTGGGACTTTTATTACAATCCGTGATTGTTGCAGCAGATGGTGAGCAAACCAGGAAAGGTAATTGTGGCGAAAGTAGCAGGGTCCGAGAGTAAAAATTTTTGTCCCGCTTTTCGTTTCTGTAAGCTACTTAGCAGGATAAAAAAAACTGACATGGTACCATTTTAATATTTTAAATTTTATTTACAGTTAGTAGTTATTAAAAAAACCAATGTAAATTTTTCAATGAAATCAAATAAAAGAATTCTAATGCAAAGGAAAATCGTCCACTCAACTTCCAAGAAGGCTTTAAACCATTTCAGTAAAAGTCATTAATGCATAGTAGCAGCAAAGATTATTTATTGCTAATTCTTTTTTCCTCGAAATAAATTTGTGTAAAAACACTTCTATCAAAACAGCAAAAAAGCGTTTGTTGCGCATACGTCGCGTGTTCCCAAGGACAACATAAGCCGCCGACTTCAACGTCTCATGCATGTTTTGTGTGAAACCAATAGCCATAAATTTTCCTAGCCAAGCACAAAATTCCTATTTACTTTCTCTACACAAAGAAAAAGGGTGTGAGAGAAGTAAAAACGATAGAGAGAAACAAGCACAACAAATTTTACTGACTGTTTTTTGCTGGCTTTATGAAATTCAAATTTTATTATGGGCAAGATGAAAACTTGAATTGAGTTGCAGAATGAAATATAACAAAACAAAATTATATGCATGAGTTTTTCTCGAGGAATGTGCAAGTTTACTGCTTAGCCGCCGGCCTTTAAAAACATGGCCTTTCACATGAAAAAGAAGAAAAAATTAAAATGCAGAGTGTCGGCTTTAGATTTTATTAAGTTGACTTTATTTAAATTTCAAAACTGTGCTTAACATACGATTTTTTTTTGAGAAAAGTGATTTACATATAAGAGCTGTATTTTAAATACACTTTTTTGAAGTTCGGCAATGATTTAAATTCTCTTAGATGGGAAAGCAATGGTTATCATGTATCTTCAATTAATGGCAAAAAGTATTCAATAATCTAATTGAAATGTAAAAGAAAGAAGGAAGTACGTCGTTCACAAATTTGGCAACTGTCTATATTTTTCAGTTTTCCAATTATTTCATTAAATCTAACTGGTAAAATGTTTTAAAAAGTTTATATTTGCTTTTAAGGCAATTTAACTGATTGATTGTTTATGTCGGCATTTGACAAATGAATTTTTGCCATCTGCTGATTCTTATAGCCGAAAAAAGGTGATTGGTTTTAATTGCCATAAAATATCAATGTCATGCACAATACAGTGCAGTTCTCTATGCAATGCAAATGGAAATCTAAATAAAAACACTAACTTTTCTTGCTTTCAAAACTGGAATAAAACTGACAACAAAAACCAAGCAAATTTTGCAGGGGGCAAAGCAAAATACACAAAATGTTGTAAATGTTTTGTGCTGTCATTTCAGTTCAACATTTCAACAAATTTGGTTTTTATGACAGCCAAATGTGTGTGTAATTATTCCTGTCGAATGTCGGAATGGACGCGAAGGGACCTTGGTCAGACTTGGCAGGAAAATTGCCCGAACAATTATTATGATGGTTGATAAGCCTCACGCACACTCAGACACTCTTCTGCAAGCACACGTGCACTCACTCGTGTGTAGTAAAAAGTGGAGTTGGAATTCGCTTTGCTACGTGACTGCTGGTAATTTTCGTGCACATTGCGTATACGTAATGTGACGCCGGTCCCAACTAAATGGCCCTACCGCTACACTAACGCACGACATTTGCTAGGGCTTTGGTGCCCCTTACAAGTTTAATACACAGAGCGAAAACCCCATTTATTTGAACCGTAACCTCAACGAAAAAACAGATGGTAAACAATAATGTTTTTTTTAGCTTTGAAGCTACATTTAAATTATTTGCATTAATTTACTTAAAATATGATGTGTTTCTAAGAGAACTCTTAAACAAAGTGAATGATCAATTTAAAATAAAGAAGTCAACTAATAGTAAATATAAAAGTATATATTTTAATAAATGCAAAAAACGGCCGATAATATAAATTTAAGACATCAAAACAAAACTTGTTTTTAAAATTTTCTCCTCAAATCCGAAATAAGAATTTCATATCTCAAAATACTTTTTTAAGTGTGTACATTTTTTTGTTGTTTCATCCCTTCCCCGCTTATTGTCGCCTTTGCCCTCGTTATTTCGCCATTTATGCGACTACCTTTTCGTCCCACTCTTTTGCAATGGTACGATAATGTTGCCTGCTTTTCCACGCAATTTTGTTGAGTCTTTCGGTTTCTTTTATTGTTTTATTTTATTGTTTATTACCACATTTCTCGTGTGCGTTCATGCACTTTCCCTTATTTTCAACACGAATTGCACCGTCAAAGGTAAACAAAACCTGAGCAAATTTGCTGATGAATTGTCAGCTAATTAAATAGGCCATCTGGGCAGGATAAAGGCTGGAGTATCGATTGAATAAAAGTCAAGCCAATCCTACAAACTTGGAGTAATTGATTTTGGGAAAAGTTTGGAAACCAAATTACAAGCGATAACCAGAAAATCTTTTCATGAAAGCAAAAAACTTTTCTTATAGGCATAAAATAATTGGTTGCCTCACAAGAATGTATTTTCCTATTTTCTAAGGTTGACCTAAATAAATAATTCCCGTCACGATCCAAATCTGAATCTTTTTTATTTAATTACAAGTTCTCTGTGCAATCTTAGTAAATGCTTCAGATATTTTTGGCACGGAGCTTCATCAATTTCCGAACATCTTAGCCGGATAAGCATAAATACTCACTTCAATCTTTCGTTAATGGTGATTAAATCAAATAATTGATGGGCATCCTTCAATTTTTGTGCGCCAGCTGGCTTCTTTCAGATGAATCCACTCCGCTTTTAAATCACATAAAGCTGCGTGAAACGGAAATGCCCAAAAAAACTGTTGATTATAATTGGAGAGCAGCTACTTGAATTTTTTCTTTACAGAGCATCTCATTAAAATTTTTTTCGTTTTGAATACGTGCGTAATTTTAAAACTATTTTCATAAGGAATTTCGATTTTATTAAAAAGTGAAATAAAAATAATAAAAGCCAAATAAGGACACAATACAATTATTATTTATTTTTTGGGCACGCATACCATAAAATTATATTTGTTTTTTTGGAATATATTTTAATATGCGAACACTTTATTATTTATTATTTTCTAAGCCGTTTTTTCACACCCACGTGTCGTTTTTAAGTCCGTTACGTAGTTTTTCGAATATACTTTTTGCTTTATTCCGGTCGGATCCGTTGCGTTGCGGTTCTTATGAATGCCGCATCAGAACTGAATTTCTATCGGAGAAAGTGCGCTGACTGCGGCGTAGACTGAGGCAGCGACGCCGACTGCGCTGTCGAATAAGTCGGACAATCGCGGAGTCTGCGCAGGAAATACGCCGAGAAAATGAAAACAAACTTAACCCATACGATGGTTTCTGTGCCTAAAATTCATTGGTATTTCCAAGTTTAAATAAACAAGTATCATGAAAAAAATCTACTGTTTCAAAAACCAATCTAAATAAATAATTTATTAAAATGTTATACACATCTTGAAAATAGAGTACGCCTTAATTCAGAATACCACAATTATGACTATACACACACATGGTAATTATTTTGATACGTGGTCTTGACAATTTTTAAAAGCAAACCAAATTTTTTCTTAGATTTCTTATTCACTTGTTGGCGAATGGCAAATCATTTAGGTTTGTATAGACAAGGAACTTCCATTGCGGTTTTAATACAATGATTTCCATTTCTGGAAATAGCTAAATTCTATGGACTACATTTTTGAACTTAATTGAGTGCACTGTTTACATTTTGACTTTTCGGCATTGTTTAGCCTGAATAATTTCGTTCTGTGTTTGCTTTGTTTTCGCTCTTCTATTTTTAAATTTTGCTGTTTACATTGTGGTGAGTAGAACAAGAGCAAATGCAGTACAATGAAATGTGTAATGATACAAACAAATTGTTAGGTAGGTACAGTAACCTATTATACTGTATACTCATACAGTGGCAATAATTTTAAATATTTTAATTAATTTTTGACTGTCTTTGACTCTTAACAATCCAGGATGTTTTACGTATATCTGTATTAAGTTTAAGGATGGCACACCAAATCTCTTCTAATATTTTTAAAGTCTTCTGAATGAAAGTTGTCAAACTATATATATTTATTTTTTTATAAGAGTAAACTACACAACAGATATTTTTTGTGGGTAGCCAAATTTATTTAATAAATATATTTTGTAGGTATTAGATTATTTATTATACCAAACTATCTAAAAAAAATTTGAAATCATTATAAAAATTGTCTTAATGTTTATATTTTATTGTTATTGTCAAATCTTTAATCAGTAACATTAAAAAAGTATGGAGACTAATTGCTTTTTATTTATATATGAATTCGACTGATTAGAGCAACTTCAAGGAAGCTTTAACTCGGAGAAAGAGAACCGCAAATAAAACTGGCACACACATTATCTTTTATCAATTACTCTATAAATCAAGGTCGTGGGCGGGTAGGTGAATTTGCTGGGGCTGCAGGAAAGATCTAATGGAAATGGAATTTGTTCTGACAATATGCCGAATGGGGCATACAAATAATTAAAGAACGTCTTAATAGATAAATGATTTAACCCGCTAAGCTAATACATGTACATGTTTAACATTTCTGGCAATAGAGCTCTATAATAAATTGTTATGAATTCTCACAATTTTAAATGGCCGGCTTTGAAAAATGTTCAGTAACCCCCGTAATTAATTTTTAAAAACTATTTTTTTATATACAAGTACTATGCAGTTTATTTGGCTTACTTAGGTTTCCCAACGAGTCCATTAAATTCGCAAACAAAGAAATAGTCCTTTACTTCCAACTTTACGACTGTGTGAAGTGGTAAAGTGGTTTGCCAGACTCATTAATTTTACTCAACCGGATATGAATAATGAGTTGGGATTTAGGTGGCAACTCACACATAAAATATAAAACTCGTATTTGGTCAAGCCAACAATCTGCATTTTAAGCCCCAGAAGCTCAGTGGCACACAGGCAAATGTGGCAGGACATTTTGAGTTGCTTGTGGTGTCCATGTCGCCTTTTCCTGATTGCTGCATGGTGCACATCCTTCTTATTTTTTCTGGTGCACCCAAAATAAGAACAAAAACTGATAAAATTTTTCATTTTAACTAGACTGGGTGACTTTGCCCCAATGCTTCTGTCTCTTTTTGCGTCTCGGCAGCTGTCTCTCTTTCTTGTCTCTAGCCAATTACAAAAGTTGTCAAATTGTTGCTGGTCTCCTTTTTGTTGCTTGTTTGTTTATGTCTCCTGGTGCATTTTATATGTATTTTTGCCCCAGACAATATTGGCTTCCGTGTGGAACTTTAACTTTTCACGGCAACATTTTTGCAGTGCGAGAGTGTGTGCTACGTTCTTTTGAACAACGAAAATTCATTCATGACCGGAGCATTGTTCTAGTGGAAGTTTAGACGAAGCTGACAAAAACACTAACGATCCACTGGAATTAAAAAAAGTATGGTAAATATGAAATGTTTTTACGAAAGCACAGCAGCTGTTAATTTTTGTTGAACATCGCAAAAATGGGTTTGAACAAACTTCGGTTGAGAATTTTTCATTTATTTAATCATATTTCTTTCTATTTGTATATTTTTAGTGAATCATATTGCGAGATCAGCGGAAGCATTTCGATTTTGATTTTAATTGGTTTGCCTCTGGTTCTATTGTATATTTTTGTGTACTTTGAGTTGCTCTTGTTTGGTGTTAACCCATTCACTTTAGATTTGTAAACAGATTGTTTACGTTTAAATGCTTCAGGATCATTAACTTTAATCGTTTTTCAGAAAATAAATTGAAATAGAAATGATGCCAGCGTTCTCTTAATAAAAACCACATGTGCCAAAATTATGACATGAATTCTGGCTTTCTTTTCCATAAGTTTCTTTCATATTATTAAAATTTTAACAAAGTTTTTTGTTCTTAAATATTTTTATTTGGCCCCTTCTTCTAAATTTACATTTTTAAAATATCGAAACCAATTTTTTATCTTACAATATTTACTAAAGTCCCAATAAGAATGCTTTGTACACAAGGCGCCTTAAATTATTTTTAATAAAGAAAAGCATAATTTTGCCAAGTAAAGGTAAAGAGCATACGTCCTTTTGGGGAAATTACAAATAAAGAAAATTAAATGCAGGTCTCAAGTGGCTTTTTCTGCGGCTTCCACCACGTTGGATTGACTGCACTCGGTTTGATGAGTAATCCCTGCCAGTCTGCAACCAACATTTATTCCCTGTCGACTGCCATTTTCTGCGGACGAGGCCAAGTCTGCGGCAATGAGAAAACCGTAAAGCATAATGCCCGCTGACATATATATTTTTTCGCTTCCTCAGATTTTTTCCATTCTCTGCACAACCGATTCTTGAAATAATAAAGAGAAATTATTGGTGCACTGCGCCTTTGGGGTGCCAATGTCCTGGTAAAGTATTCCTTTTGAGTAGAGGTATAATTTATACTTTAGTTATTTTTATATGAGAAAAGAGGATGCTGGTACTTTAGAATCATCCCCTTTAATCTTTTAGCAGTCCGTTTGTACGTGAGGCGATTAACATAATTAGATGAGCTGCTCAGCCCTGAAAAATTTAAAACTCAAGGCTCGCAAACAACACCTTTCAGATAATCAGACGGGAAGTGTGTGCCTGGGATTTCCACAATGTTTACATATTTGCACAATGAAAACGATGCCCACAGCAAACCGTAATCCCTCCCTTCCGCAACCCTTGAAAAATCCCACAGGTGACATGAGACAAACTTTGTCTTAGCAGTCACACATCAGGCTTAAACATTAGCATCAACTTTTGGTGCTGGTTTACCCCCCTTGGCACTTAAACACCTTCTTAAATGCTCAGGCAGAATTTTCACAAAATCCCTGTGAACTTTTAATTTTCTCACGCAGAGCTCAATTTTGCTTAATTCCTTTGAAAAGCAAATATAAATTCCTTTGGTATATGTACTTAAATATTAGCTATTAGTGACTGTTAAATTTATTCAAAATATTGGAAATACCATTAAATTGAAAACGAAAGTAAAGAAAATATTTATATAGTTTTTAATTATCCATATAATCTACATGTTTTTAATGCCTAGAAAAAAAATTATATGGCGATTACTAATCTCTATCACATTAAAAAAAAATCAAGTTAGGTTTTCCAATTGAACTAGTGGTTTAATGATGGTCTTTTTTTTAGATTTGACTTAAACCTAATTTGCCAAACATTCAAGTCCAAGCTAACTTTAACTACGTTTGAACAAAAATATAACCATCGAAAGGTTTAGTAGCACATTTTCTGCATTGTCATAAACGTTGTTTAGGCGGAAAGCTGACATATTTTACTGACCCACATCCGATAATAAAGAAATGGCGGCTTTTACCTAACACGTAAAGTGACAGTCGCTAAATAGTAGAAAAGGATAATACAAAACAAGAGAACAAGACAGAATGCAATTATTTGCACTTCCCGCCAGTTATAAAAATAAAAAAATATACATTTTACATAAACAGCCTTAAAGTGTTGGCTTCTACTAAAGAGAATGATAATAACAAAACTGTACTTTTACCCAACAACTCGTAGGGGCCTTTAAAGTAAGTTCCTTAATATAAACTGAAACGGCCAGTTGGTTGCCCTGCGGCTTTAATACCCATAAGTGACACAATGTAAGATTTTGCCTTAGAAATAAAGCATTCATTGATTCTTCTATTGATATTCATAGTGTTTACTTTGCCTATATTTGAAAAATTTGCTGACTGAACAAACGAAACTCTAATGGAAAATTCGTTGGCAATATTTAAATTCATTGCCATTTCCAGTTCAAACTAGTTTTGAGCACAGCCAGCATTTAAATCCCGTTCCGACTTTTTCCTAGTTTCCCACAGATTTCCCCGAGGCTTCGGGTTGTTTTCAGCGTCGTCTGTTTGAGTATCCAAGTGGATTGGGTCAGACAACAGAGGGTAAAGGAAATTGTTTTGCTATGGCTCATAGTTGGGCATAAAAAACAGCTGCGAAGTGCCGCTGACAAACAGACCGATAATCATCTCCAGTGTCCCTATTTTTTGTACAACCGTAAAAACTTGTATTTATCTTTTCACAAAATGAATTTCGTATCCCTAAATAAATACATTTTAAATATATTTTAAGCTTCGCAAAAATTTATTAAGGAAGCTAACTAAGTGAGTCATCAAAAACTGTTCAAAAACTTCTGCA